GCGCTCGCTGCGCCAACTCTTGACGACAACTGACGGGCTCCAAATGGAACAGATGGACTCCGAAACGAACGTGGGAATGCCGACACATGATCCCTCCAAATTTACAGAGGAGGAGATGTCCCTGACAGCCCCTTTGCAATAGGGGTCACTTTTACACTATAGACGTATGGGGAATTCGACCTTATCGACATGGTACTACGAGGTCAGCTGATCTGCTTGGCATTTAAATCGTAGTAAAACTGGCATTTAAACGCTGCGAAACAACTTACGTACAACGTAGCTCCGATTTGCCCCTCTTTCTTTTTCATCCCTCCGATTTTCTTCCGATCAAGAGAAGTTTCGTACCGAGAGAAGTTTCGCAGCCACGTCCGATATAACTTACGATAGCACGGATCCCCCCAGCCTGAGTGCTAACGAGAAGTTGTAGTGCCACTCAGGCTGGGGGGATCCGTGCTATCGTAAGTTATATCGGACGTGGCTGCGAAACTTCTCTCGGTACGAAACTTCTCTTGATCGGAAGAAAATCGGAGGGATGAAAAAGAAAGAGCGGCAAATCGGAGCTACGTTGTACGTAAGTTGTTTCGCAGCGTTTAAATGCCAGTTTTACTACGATTTAAATGCCAAGCAGATCAGCTGACCTCGTAGTACCATGTCGATAAGGTCGAATTCCCCATACGTCTATAGTGTAAAAGTGACCCCTATTGCAAATGGGCTGTCAGGGACATCTCCTCCTCTGTAAATTTGGAGGGATCATGTGTCGGCATTCCCACGTTCGTTTCGGAGTCCATCTGTTCCATTTGGAGCCCGTCAGTTGGCGTCAAGAGTTGGCGCAGCGAGCGCCCCGAAGACTGCGTCTGCGCACGAGGCTTCGCGATGGAGGAGTATTTTGACGAAATCGCCCTCGCTGCAGAAGAAATAGAGAGACTTGTTGAGAAAGAGGAGGCCGCAGTGTCCCGACGACTTTAAACTGTACGCCAACGCCAAGACCAAGGCAATCAGGGGGCGCTCAGATGATCGGGAGGTCTCAATTGATCAGGGACCCACCAGGTGACCAGGGAACCCTCTGATAACCAGGGGTCCTTCCAGTAACCAGGGACTCCTTCAATAACCAGGGGCCCCTCAGTAAACGTGGGCCACTCAGGTTACTGCAAGAGACAGGAGTCCCTTATAACCAGGGACCGGCAAGGTCTCTCAGGTCCGTTTTTGACAAAGCTGTTATTGATGTCATATGCGAGCCCTTTGCCAGCAGCAGAGGGCCCTTTCAAGCCTTTTTAGGGCCGTTTAACGTCTCTTGAGTTTCCTTTGAGGCTCTTCAGCAGCCGAGGGGTCTTTGAGGCCTTTTTGAGGGCCTCTTAACGTCAGCTGAGGTCCGTTGGACGCCATCTGAGGACCGTTTGGGGCCTTCTGATGGCCAGTAGATGCCAACTGAGGGCTCTCTGACACCACCTGAGGGCACGCTGACACCAACTGGGTTTTATATTTGACACGAGCTCAGGGCCCTTTGACGCCCTTTGAGACCTTCTGAGGTCCGTTTGACGCCAGCAGAGGACCCTTTGGGGTCATATGAGGGCCCTTTGCTGCCTTCTAAGCGGCCTTTGAGGCTTTTTGAGGGCCGCTTGACGCCACCTGAGGACCGTTGCGGTTGGACTCCAGTTACGGACCGTTTGAGGCCTTCTGATGGCCATTTTGCGCCAACTGAGGGCCGGGGGGCCCTCTGACACTAGCTGGGGGCCCTCTGACACCAGATAAGGGCCCTTTAAGGCCTTCTGAAGTCCGGTTAACGCTAGCGGAGGGCCTTTTGAGGCCAAATGAGGGCCCTTTGAGACCTTATAAGGGCTCCTTGAGGCTTTTGAGGGCCGCGTGACGGCATCTGAGGACCGTTGTACTCCAGCTGACGACCGTTTAAGGCCTTTAGATGGACTTTTGGCGCCAGCTGAGGAGGGCTCACTAACACCAGCTGGGGGCCCTCTGACACAAGCTAAGGACTCTTTAAGGCCTTCGGAGGGTCGTTTGACGCGAGGTCAGGGCCCTCTGACGCAGGTTTAGGGCCCTTTGACGCCCTTTAAGGTCTTCTGAGGTAGGTTTACCGTTGGCTGAGAGCCCTTTGAACCCATCTGAGGGCCCTTTGAGGCCGTCTTGTGGCCCTTCATTTGGCCATCTGAGGGCCCTTTGACACCAGATGAGGGCCATTTGACGCTAACCGAGGGCCCTTCGAGACGATCTGAGGACCCGGTGAACCCATCTGTGGGCCCTTTGAGGTCTTTTGAGGGCCATTGAAACTTCGCCACAATACCCCTGGCTGCGCTACTGGGTATTTATGGACTCGTATGGGCCTGCTGGGGAACGAGATGGGCCCTCCCGGTCTTTTTAATAATTATTTCAGTTCATTTTACATGGTCTTCGGCGGTCTAAAGATTAGGGGCCCCAACTCGAATGGGGGGGGAGGCCCGTGTGCCCTCTCCTGTGTGTGGCCTTGCCGACACTACACCGCTTCCCCTCCCTCCGCCATAAACGCACCGCTGCACTGCTAGGCGCCGACAAATACGGACCGGCGCCGCAACCGGCTCCCCCGCGGCCTGCCTCGCGTTGACATAGCCCTTCCCGAACACCAGTGTAACCCCCACGCGGCCTAGGTATCGCCGCGCCCACCTGTCCGCGGCGCGGCCTCTGATGGCGTATCGGATCATTGATGGTGCGATACATGTTTTGGTCAGATTTTCGCAATTAACGCGAAAAATTGCCCAAAACATTTTTTAAATTTCAAAATTGAAAAAAATGATTACAAAAATGACGTGAAAGTGACCGTTTTCAACGTGTAAATTTAAAACGCTCTAGCGCAGCCATTTTTGAAGAAATCGACTTCAAATTTTGCACACGTGTTCATCAACCATATTTGTTTAACATATATTTCGGTTTTGTGAAAATTTTGAAAATTTCTTATATTTTTCTCTTGAGAAAGAGGTAAAGCTTCGCTACGATCGGCCTTCCGATCGACCGAGAAGATTCGTAAAGTTAGTTCGTATCTTCACCATTTGCGATACAACTTGCGTATCTACTTAGCCTACGATGTGATGGATCCCTCCAATATCTGTTCCGATTCAACTTACGTTTGATCGCAACTGCGAGGTGCCTTGCGATCACATGGATCCCCCCAGCCTCAGACCTCCAACCGTGATACCAGTCGAGGCGCCAGAGGACACAGGACACAGGCCAGGTGAGGGTGGAGCTGCCGGGAGGCAGTTGCAAACACCTACCACTTACTGGATATTGCATCTCAAGATGTCCAATCCTGCCTGTTCACGTGTATGCCTGATAAACAACGATAGCTGCAGAACGATAAGGTGGCGGTCTATAGGTATTTGGTCTGCATGTCAAATTGACGAATTTTTGTGTGAAATAACTCCCGACCAATGTCACACAGTTCACATATCGATTATCATGCAGCCTGAAACACATTTCGCTCAAGTTGCTCTCGCAAACAGCTAAACGTCGTACCAATGCCGTAAAAAAGCGCTGCTGAAGAGCAGCGCTATTTCTGATGCGTTATTTTTCACGAACAACGCAAAGTCTTACGTCACCAGATGCGCCTTTGTCTCTTTATGATACGGAAACGCGTCCTTTTAGGTGGGGGTAGCGTCAATCTGGCTTCGTTCTTTGAACGGGTTCCGTCTTCCGTCTTCGTCCTTTTATGATAACCAAATTCCGTCTAATCTCAGAAATGACGGAGCGTCCCTCCGTTCTTTTCTTTATAAGAATGGCCATCGTCCAGGTCAGTGGTGAGCTGACGCATGGTGTTATGCGGCACTTTGTACGCTGATGCAGCCAGCACCGTCTGGTGCTTACTGGTCCACACCAGCACCCAGATGATCTCCAGGTTGGAGCCGGCCACGCCCGTCACAGGTGTCGGGAGCAGCTCGCAGCTAAGGCTATCACGTACCAGCACGGCCACGCCTCCCCTCCCACTGGGCAGGCTGGAGCTGACCGGCCTGTCCCGCCTGAAGAGCCTGCAGCCGCTCACACCAACCAGCCGGTCAGGCATGCAGGCGGCGCCAGCCACGTCTCGCAGAGGGCCAGCACATCAAAGCCGCATTTGAATTCGATATTTGAGATATCGAGGTTTTAGTGACGTCATGATTTCTGAGTTTTCGACCAAAAACAGCATATGTTCGAAAAATCATATAAAATCACAGAATAGACATACAGACATGAGGTAACCGCCATTAGACTGCCAATACTATGAGCAATCAAATGGCTATCTTCGATTTTTGATTATCGTTCGCATTTTCCAAAATCTTGAACTGAATCTTGGCAATTTCTCGTGACTACTTCACGACCATGATACATGCATTTCTTAAATTGAGCTTTTTGAACCAAATACGTACACATATGATAAAATGAATGTCACCATCGTGTTCTACGCCCAAAATTACCCATAAAACATGTGGCACAGGCTGCGAATATCAGTTTTGATTTTCGGGGATATGTACCTACCCGGTTGATCTGACCTTGACCCTGACCTATGCTTGACTGACCCCTACATGGATCTGACACTCTTGTAGGCCTTCTCATACGAAGGACTGTGCACCGTTTTGACAGAGTTTATGACGAGAGGCGCCCATCGCGAAGTCCTGAAGTCCATGCCACTAAAAGCCCGATTTCAGATGTTTGACCTGACCTTGACCCGACCTGTGACCTTAAAATTCAACTTTAAAGTACTCATCTGAAGCGTCTCGTCGCGTTCTTTCGTTTCCCGCCTCGTGCGTTTCGATGCGCCTATTGATTCTCGAGTTATCGGCTGGGGGCGTTTAACGCCCCCCTTCCCCAGCAAACGGCGGGTGGCGAAATACCCCACCAACTGCCGGGTTAAATCGAAAATATCTTATTACAAAGTTGCAGCACTTTGGATTCAGAGGGACTAACGCATTTGAATGATGTGTGACGTCAGCGCAGATCTAACGATTTTAAATCTTGCCACATGGCACATGAAAGTCATGACTCACCTTAGGCTTCATTTTACTCTGCTGATTGGCGAGTGGCACTCCGCACAATGTCGTCGCGCTACCTACACGAGCAAAAGATATTTCCCGAGCACACAGCAATGCACATTAGAGACACACAAAAGTGACACACACACACACACTTTCTCTCTCTCTCTCTCTCTCTCTCTCTCTCTCTCTCTCTCTCTCTCTCTCTCTCTCTCTCTCTCTCTCTCTCTCTCTCTCTCTCTCTCTCTCTCTCTCTCTCTCTCTCTCTCTCTCTCTCTCTCTCTCCCGCGCGCGCGCACACATACACACACGCACCTACACACACACAGAGGCCGCGCCACAAGTGCGGTGGCGGAGAACCGCTGGCGCTGGTGGCCGGTCGGCCGACCGTTAGGCACCGTGTCGCCCGCCGGCCCGTGGCGGCGACCGACCGTTACACTGGCCGCCGCGCTGCGCCGGTGGCCTGGACGGCGCACCGGCGCGGCCGCCGCCCCGCCGCCACCCACCCAAGTATGTAAGTACGTGCGGCCCAGACGGTATTTGGAGGACGCTCTCTCGGAGTCGGAGGCGGAGTCGAATTTGAGTTTTATTCGTCCATATTATATGTCCCCATGTTTTTGATACATCAGAAGGTTCTGTGTTCGAATCTCGAAGTGACCCAAACTTTTATCGTTAATGTGCGGCAAACCATTGCTACAAAGTAAAGTAGGGGTGAGCGCGCTGGTGATGGAAGTTGTAAGTTGGCATACCTGACCTTTGATTCAAGCCGGATTTTACGACACCATACCTCAAACTCTGAGGGCTTGCACCATGGAAAGTAACAGCCTTGAAACTTGAAACTTATTTATTCACGAGTCCACTGCAATCAGTGGCTTTTCGTCATTGCACGTCACAGAAGTAAACAAACATCGTTGATGGGGGGCAGGCGCGCACACAGGATTTTTGAATTGGGGGGGGGGCACGACCTGCGAACTGGGCCCCCCATGCCGAAGGGCCCCCCCCCAAAATGCGCTACGGCCTGCGTGCTTTTACTTCGGTTAACTTGAAGCTTCAGCTTTTGCCAAGGCAAAGTAAAACAATTATTTCGGTACCTGTTTAATTTTCAAACATTTACGTTTTACGCTGGTACGTTTTATTCAAATGCGATTCAAAGTCGGTAAATATAATTATTTTCACGTAAAACATTCCATTAATAAGCATAGTTGCAAGGCCCTCAGAAATCGACCCCGGGCAGCGCCTGGCTGCCGGCCAGCCGACCGGCCGACCGCCCCGGCTGGCTAGAAGCAAGGACCGGTCACATATTGCCCCGAATGTGTAGGAGCGGGGACAACACTCCTTTTTCACGTAGGTATATTCACATCTTTTTGTAGGCATATCGAGAACATGCATGATTGATGGCTGTGATGAGCATTGTTAGTACAGTTATATTTACATCATTTTCACTATAATTAGGCATATTGACATGAAAAGTCATTACAACTGATACTGGATGCGAGATCACAGACCAGAGATCCAGCGTTCTAACTAGATATTCAATGTTCAACCGACAAATCAAATCAACAGGACTATGTACGACGTACGTCGACACCCAGGATTTTGCCCAGAAGGGGGTCACCTGCTCTCGAAGCGGCCCGCGAGTCCCCCGGGGGCCCCGGGGTCAGCCCAGGCAGGGACGTATCTAGGACCTTTCGATTGGAGGGGGGGCACAGTCGGTCCGGTCCCACTTGCAGACGGGCCTCTCTAAAACGGTCTTAACCCTGGGAAAATGTGGAAAATTGGCAGGTAAAATATGATTTTTGCCCGATGAGTGTGCTTAACCGCAGGATGGTTTGAAATAGACAAACACTATTCGTTAGAATTGCGTTTTTCTATTGAAAAACAACCGGAGCAGTCCTTCATCGGGCTATGTTTTCCATTGTTGGCAGCGACTCGAGACATCTTGACCGGGGCCTAAACGAACGATCAGATTTTCATAAAAATTTCAGGGTATGGGCTCCTGGAGGTGATCTACCTGATGGCACCGGTCGCTGCTCGATGTAATATCAGTGAAAAGTGGTACGTGCGTTTCATTTTTTCCATGTTAAGTCAACGGGGATCTGGACACTTTTTGCGCGATCGCCAATGGCGGAGAAACGAAGATTTTGAGGGGTGGTTTCAATGCAATTATCTTATGGCAAACACGTTCAGGCATCTATTGGTGTTTGTGTAGATAGGCAGAGTATCTTCATTTAGACATTGTTCATTGAACCGTAGTGCGAATTCTGCTTTTATGAGCTTCCGTTATCTGCTTTTGTGAGCTTCCACATATTACCAAAATGTGTCATGTGTCATGCATCCAAGTGTGGAACGATGTAGGTATATTAGTTAGTGTGTTTACTGAATGTGACGACTGCAAGAGGCCTTAGCAATTTATCACGCACAATATGTATTTAGTTTTTCTCCCTTCCATTCTAGTAGCAAACTTAGGCTCTGTGCTTTTACAATTTAACCTTGTGATCATGAAGATGTAGATGTCTTCGAAAGCTTAAGGAATTTAATTTTGTATACATGTTATGTCTGAAACCTTTGCCAATATAATCGGACAATTATCAACATCTCTCAAGAAAACGATCCGAAAATACGAACACACAAATCGGAAGCTCATAAAAGCAGAATTCGCACTACGGTTCAATGAACAGCATCTATTGGTGTGTACTGTATCCCCGTCAAAACCTCGGAACGTTTCTTTGCACGATGTCAAAGTTGGAATTATGCCTTCTCCCATGGAAATCTTTCAAAGGTGGCACACTACCTTTAAAGGTAGTGTGCCACCTTCCAATGATTTCCCATTTTATTTTTCCTTGGATAAGAAGCTTCTGTTTTTACCTAATATCGCAAACAAATCAAAAATGGGCCTGGAATAGTGCTTTTTTCGCCTAAAATTTTATCGGTTTTTCGATATGTATAACAACTGTAGTGGGCTGACCTGCAAACAGACGTCGGCAACAATCGCGAATGCGCCGCACATATGACAATAAGCAAAGGTCATTATAGAGTTACGACGTACGGGAATGAGTTATCAGCTGGCTAATCGTAGACAACACAATGTCGAACTTAAACTGTAAGCCTGTATTGGTATTGTTTCTTTAATTTGGCTGTCGAACATCAATTTATGGTTTGAAATATGATTTTATGTAAAATAATTGATATGAAACAGCCGTCTCTTAAGTTATGACACCATCTCACCACACGAAAGTGGCAGAAATGACAATGATCAGCTGACGCATTTTTCTTGGCCGAATTCAGAGCGCGCGGCCCGACGCACCACCACCGCACCACAAAGTATGAGCAGAAGCCACCTAACAGGCTTATTCGAAACCGCAGGAGATGATGATGAACGGGTTTATCGAAACTTGATTGGATGAGCCTATCGGGAATAGCGATTTTAGTGTCTGCATTTATTGTTCATAGTGGTGTGAAATGTGGTTAGGGTACGACCGACAACCCGTCGGGGCGAATTTCGCACTGGGGTACTCAAAATTTGAAGAATTTAAGACGTTTCCATGAGTTTTGAAGGTATGGATAAGTTCTAAAAATCCGGTTCTCCTTATTTGTTTATTTATTTGTTTATTTGACCAAAAAACAACCACAGGCCAAGGCCCAGTTACGGCTGCAGTCAAAACACACTAACACGGATAAGCACACAAACACGCACACACAAAAACATCCATGCCAATACGGCAAACGCTGATGCAATAATGAATAAAATGTGTAAATATATGTATAATGTGTGGTAAAAGCGCAAAAACGCAAAAACATGAATACCATAAAGGATAAATGGAGGCCGCATGGGTAAGAGGATGAATACAAAATAAAATAAAATAAGAACAAATAATGATAAATCAGAGCAGCTTACCATAAAGTGAGAAAATGAGGTTAGAATAAACGTTAAAATAGTGTAAATGGTATGGAGATGATGATCAGAGGATGTAATAGTAGAAGGATATGGTGTTAAAAGAAGCACACATTATAAATGAAAATGCATGTAACTACGTAATAAAAACAGCACGACGCAACTTTACATGCTACTTCCTACCACGGTTAGCATACATACGTAAGAGCCCTGACGACCAGCAAACTGAACTAAGTCCGATCTCAAAGATCGGGACGGCTGGAATAAGTCGCTCTGATGGTTATCCTGCATAAGCGAGTTGAGCAGTTGAGGAGCTCGCACCAAAAAGCCTCTCCTCACAGAGTCCACCCTGCCACTTCCACGAGGTACAGGTCTCGCGAGATTAAGCGGTAGGTTTTGCACTTTTACATTTCCGGTTATATCTCAGAAACTAATCGATCTACGATGAAGCCATTTTACACGATCATGGCCGGCTTGTTACCCAACAAGTCGATCGCATCTTCACCACTTAAAAGCTTAAGACGACGAATATACATATAGCCTGAAGTACACTAAATTTTCTAGGTGCAAAACCTACCGCTAAAACCCGCAAGACCTGTACGTGGAACAGCTCAGGGCGTCGTGTGCGTCGGCCTGGTACGGATAAAGGGAACAGTCCCGATATCTCAGCGCAGTCTATAGGTGCCCCCTCAGTGCTGAACACGCAAACATTAAATCAGACTGAATAAGGCGGGTCTTAACAGATGCGCAACCAAACTTGCACAGCAGGGACTGATAGTCGAGAGGCGGGCATGAAGGCTGAGTTCTAGCTCCCAGCCACATCAAGAATAGAGGTTGGAGACGCTCAAATCTACACAAGTGGGTGACAGCGGCACCAGACCATATTACACTCGAGTATTCTATTACAGATCGCACGTGTGCCTTGTAGGCGATTAGACATGCAGCGTGATCGAATTTAACTCTATGTGCATGAGTGGACACCTGCATGCTTCTCATGAGCAGTCCCAACATACGATTGGCCTTTGAAACAGTGGCATCTGTGAGTAAGTGAAAATGAGGTTTTAAGGCGTCCCTGTCCATTGGACATTCGGCCGCCTGTAAAGAATCTGTTTGCTAGAAAAAATATCGAATTGCTAGAATTTTGATATTGCAAGTGCTCATTTACTTTAACCCTCGCATGTGTGCGGCGTTTTCCAGCTTCTAATGTGTAGGGGGGGGGGTCGGTTGGACCCCCCCCCCCTTGCCGTTTGGCCCCTGATCGAGCTAGAGCTTCGCGGAAAAAACGAGCGTGTTGCCCGTGACGAGAGGAAGCCGATGATACCCAATTTTAAGGTC